GGGTGAATGGTGAATAAAGCACTAAAAGTCAGTAATATAGTGGTGCATACCGTGTAAGGTCACACATTATACTGTTTAAAATATAAATGTACCCACAAGTACATTGTGTTCCATTATTCACTGCTGCTGGTCATAAATTACACAACCCTCAACTGCAGTGTGTTAAACAAAAGGCATGTGTCTGTTGTGTTTATTACAAAGGTAACATTGTCAGCCAACTCTGCAAAAAACCAGCTTCAACCCAGCAACCAACCTTATGTGCCCAACCCTCCCACCCCCCCAAAAAAAACAAAGTAGGGCCATGGAGGATTTTGGAGGATTGATAATGAATGCAGTTTTTGAAGTTAGGCACTTCCCTGACACACAAACATCACGAAAAATTTATGTTCCTTGTATGCAGCTGAATGGAATTTGTTGACCATTATTTATAGTGCAGTGCAAAAATTGGTTTTTCCATGGCAACCTTTTGGTGGCACACTGTATTGTGCATATTTTTTATTTTACCATATAATTTGATGAATATTTCATTAATATTCTGGCATCATCATTGGTTTTCTTTTTCTTTAGCCCACAACTAAGATGTTCATCAATGGACAGTTTGTGGAATCCAGAGCCACAGAATGGATTGATGTCCACAATCCGGTTAGCCTATACCTATAGTCAACAAGTGTGCTGCACTTTTGCTGGCCACAGTTGTCCAAACAGGGTTATGCATTATGTGCATGAGTTCCCTTTCAGCATGTTCAGCGGGGAAAAAGTAAAAAAAAAAAACACAGCCGCAGTTTTAAAAGTTTGAAATATACAAAGGAGGAAGACTACATGTACATGTACTGTACCGGTACATACTTATAATGGTAACATTAACCAGTTCACTTGTTAATGTACATGGAGCTTGTAAAGTCATTAATGTAGGAATGTAATGAAAACACAGTGACCAGATTGCTACTCTTTTTAGGTTAGGGTACATTTACAATTTCATTCACCTTTTGCAACCTTACAAAAATATCAAGGACTAGGCTCTCATCTAGTGATCCATTCACCCATCTTTTGATGGGCAGACTGTGACATTGGATATGATCGATAGAATTTTGTGAAGTGGACAGTAAAATTGGCAAGTACATTTTTGGTAAAAATTATATATACCATTACATGTACTTGAAGTGACTAAATTGTACGGTTATTTTGGTTTAGAATAAAAACACAAAAATATTTCGAAAATGCACCACATTGGTTGTTGTTTGGTCAGCCAACAGTATGCATTGTACCGTTATTTTGGTTAAGAATAAAAACACAAAAATACTTCGAAAATGCACCACATTGTTTGTTGTTTGGTCAGCTAACGGTATGCATTGTACCGTTATTTTGGTTTTGAATAAAAACACAAAAATACTTCGAAAATGCACCACATTGTTGTTTGGTCAGCTAACGGTATGCTGACTTGTACCAAGTCATTTTCACGCATGCACTTCATGCAAGCCCAGTACAAGTGCTCCACGCGGATTATGATTACAGTTTCTTACTGCATCTGGTGCTTGTAACTGCTTTACATGCATTTGCACAGCACTGCGGATGGTACATGTACATATTATACATGTATCCTATTTAACCCTGTAGGCAACCAATGAAGTGGTGACCTGTGTTCCAAAGTGTACCCAAGATGAGATGCAGTCAGCAGTGGATGCTGCCATAACAGCTTTTCCAAAGTGGTCTGAGACATCCATTATGACCAGACAACAGGTCATGTTTAGGTTCCAGCACATCATCAAGGAGAACATGGTAGGTAACAGCTTTTGATCGGGTTTTAAGACTTCATAGGCTGGAAGGGTCCAGGGGTTTTTGAGAGATTTCCAGTGTCTTAGTAATAAAACAAACATCAAAGGATGCCTTATGTACCGGTACTCCTTCAAATCCCATTTTTGTGCACAGGAATTACAAATGCGTGTCAAAAACCACCTTTTTCCTTAAAAAGTTATTAATTCCAGAATTACCCCAAAATCTGTAATATCATACAAATTATATTTTTAATCTGAATTCTAAAGGAAAGACATTCTTATCAGGAAATAATTATTTTCCCAGAGTGAGCTTGCCAAGTGTATTACACTGGAGCAAGGCAAGACTTTAGTTGACGCAGAAGGTGATGTCACGAGAGGATTGCGTAAGTTTCATCCTTTTAATTATTATTATTATTCAATATGTTATTTATAGTACATTATATTCTCAAGATGTATTTTTGTGTTGGGGAGATGGTAATGTATATAATGGGTTTTTAACATCTCCCCAACGCAAAAATACATCTTGAAAATAGTTTGTGGTACCCGCTGCTTCACTTGACTCGGACCGGCCAGCCGACCCAGGCAAGCTTGATGGTCGAGTGGTTAAGACATCTGCATTAGTAAGCAGGGGGTCGTGGGTTCTAGTCCCACTTGAGTAAGCTTGTGAGGTTTTTTCGCAAGCTCTCGGACAAGCACGGAGCATACGGTGCTTATTAACATACGTTGGGTAAGGGCAAAACCTGTTATATAAAAAAAGTACATTATATCATAACACTTACAATAATTTAATAAAAAAAGGAAAGAGGATGCAAGTATGAAAGATTATTAACAAATCAAAATAAATAGGTTTTACCATTTTTAAAAATTGTTTGATTGCATCAACTGTTCTGATATGAAGAGGGGGTTTATTCCATTCCTTGGCTGCTGTGACCCTGAAGGAATAATCACCAGCCATAGTTTTACTTAATGGTACTGAAAGGCATATTGTATCTGTTCTAGAACAAAGATTTAATTAGGAGCTAAGGGCCTCAGAATTAAGCCACTTCATGATCTTTTCATTTTAGTAAGTCGTCATTTTTTGTAATGAAAGGCTCACATGAGAAAATAACTCACCTACCAGTTCACTTGTCTACTGGTATCTAACTTCCCTGAAGGATTTATTCTTTTGCATTGTTGGATGTCTTGGCTGTTTTGCCTTTTACCTTTGTTGGATCAGTCTTGACTCAAGACTGGATTTGCACCATGTGCAGGCAACATACACTGGTGAGCACATCCAAATAGCAATAATGGTAGAGAGTGGCAATCCATAGGAGTTTAAGTATTGAAACCCGATAGCATATTTAAGCACTCCAATTATGAATAATAGCACAATGGCATTGTACATGTATGATGGTTGGAAGTAGTACCCTGATGTACCGTACCTGTGATGGAAATAACTGGGTTTGCATTGCAAAATGCGATACATTTTTTATGAAAAGCAAGACAAATCTGAAAACGATTAGCATTTTTTTGCAAATCAAAATCTCTGATAATTCATGCTAAACCACGACCGACGCTCGACATACCTGTGTGGCGACGGCCGGCTGGCTAGATTGCCGAAATTATTTCGGCAAAGACACGACGAACAATGTTCACTGGAAATGCCCGCCCGGCCGGCGCGGCGCGGTATACATGGTGTGCGACTGCCGGCCAAGACCGTGCGTAAATCAACGGCAAAAACACGCTGGCACTTACCCCAAGTTTCCATTGTTTTTATACGCGCAGCAACGGTGGTCTTGGGCACAAAGTTGCCGCAGTTTTGTGTGTCAGCGCATGTAATTTGTAGAGTAACATACATGTGAGTGACACACGCACAGTACATGTACACGTGGTTGTTTTGGCGACACGAACTACATGTTCTTGTACATGCATATATACACGCTGGTGTTTGACACTTTTACAGGTGCATGCTATAGCCACGCATTTTCATTGCTACTAAATCTGTCAAAAACGCCAAAAGTTCCGTCAAACCACACCATAAGGAATTGGCAGAATGACATGCCATGGTTGAAGCAGGAGCAGCAGTCTACAGGCCTGATGAACACATTCACTACAACCGTTGGAAAATGAAAATTTTTGTTACACACATTGTTGCATTTGTTTTTGCTAGTCAATTTATTCAAATTGCTAATCAAATGACAATTTGATTAGCATCATTTGCTAATCATTTTCCCCCTTATTTCCATCACTGGGTACATGTACATACAGTGTGGTACTGTACCACCTTGTGTATGCTTCAACTAATCATCATCGTGAAGATACGAACTGTATCAGGCATTATGAGAAATATCTTCTTAACTAATACATGTACAATCAACCCCATATAAACAAAACCCTCAACAATGGCCTAATGGGTGACCCGTACATAAAGCTGCACATTTGATGTCTATAATGTACCACCTGGTGGTCTGCACTACACGTACATGCCTTTTAGTTCTATACCAATTTACAGTACTGCATGAAAACAGCTCCTGATCAATGTGAACATACCGGTACACTTATGGTACTCTAAAAACTAAACTAAAAACAAGGTTCGTCACAATGCCATGATGTACTGTGTGACAACGAACTTCATAGGTCTAGGGGTACACACATGATCAGTGGCATGCACATACATGTACTGTACAATGAACACTGTATGGTAGTTCTTTTTATGCAGTCATAATGGTGGTTCTCATGATAGCTGGTTCGCTGTATAGTTTGCTGTATGTGTACTTTAGGTCTGATTACTTCACTGATCCACTTTACAAAAGGCATTGAGACTGTATTGGATATTGGATTTTATATTGGATAAAATTCCGATTTTATCCCCAATGTTAGATTTTATATATGTTCATGTACTTGGGAAAATTTTTGTTGAAAATATGCCCATATATGTAATATATAGTAGCCAGTACTATGATGATCTGTATTGTCAGTAGCATTTGTGTGGTTCTCCAAAATAATTAGAGTTTGTAACACGTTGGCCAGTCACTGTAGGCCAAATCTGTTGACCCTTTCCAAATGCGCATTTGTTCAACAGATTTCACACACTGTGATTGGTCAATGCGTTGCAAACTCTTGGAGGCGTACTATTGTGAATCACCCGTATTAATATAGAGGCAGTATGACAGAGGTGCTTCTAGAAACAAAAAGTAACATTGTCTTCTTCCTGATGACAAACTCTCGCTTGCTCTGTATAATACTTTCTGAACTTTGACAATTTTACAACAGAAGTAAATGAAAGTGAGAAGAAAAAGGTTTTTAATTGTTGGATTTGAAGGTTTACGTAGGCTGGTCACACATCTCTTAATAATAAGCTAACCCTTTCCAGGGAGAAACTACATTTAACTTCACGTATAACTTCTCCAAGAATGACAAGAGAACATTTTATTATTTCAACAGAGGTGGTTGAGCACGCATGCAATATTACCTCACTTCAGCTGGGTGAGACACTGCCTTCCATTGCTAAGGACATGGACACATACACAATGCGAGTTCCTTTGGGTGTTTGTGCTGGAATTACACCGTAAGATGGCTGCTTTTCATTGTTAATTTAACATTCCTTTTCTTTAACTTAAATCAAGGCTGTGGTTCAATTAAGATATTTTAAATGGTGAAGTTCATTTTTTAAAATCCAGATTTGTCACATATTTTGGAAGAAATTTCTCGCTGTTGATAGAGTAAGAAAAAGTTCTGTACTATCACCATTCCAAGGCAGACTTCCGTTCTCCTAGGGTTGAATGAGTTACTCAAAAACAACTTTCTGATGCTCTGAAATGAGTTATGTTTTGAAAGTATGTGTAACTGATGAATTTATTGGCTTTAAAGGATAGATTGTACCCAAGAAAGTGGTAAAAGCCTTTTGGATTGGAACTTTGGTTCCACTAGATCCAGTGTTGTGTTTTTATCAGTTGAAGCTGGGAAATTACTTGCAAGAGTGGGAATTTGGTTTTGATATTAACAACCTCATTATCAAAGGTAAATCTGAAACAAAAAAGTGATTTAAAGTTGTTATTATTAACAAAACTTTAAATTTGACTTTTTTATTTTTAGTAAAGCTTTGTTTTGTGAATTATGATTAAAAATGGGGTTTTTAACCACTACCAGCCGGGGACTCCGGGATCGGAGCCG